GTTTGCTGGAGCATGTCCAGAGCGCTGTGCTGCAGTAGCCCTTATGGCCCAGAAACAAAAATAAAAATGCAGAAATACCAGGAGAAGTACAAGGAGACCCTGGGCTTGATCCCCGATAGCGCCACACTCCAAGGGAGAAGCAAATAGAAGTCAGCAGTCTGTTGGTGTGTGGAAGTGGGGTGGGCCAAAGAGCCCTCAGGGGGAAAAGCCATCCTCCTGGAATTGGGGGCACCAAAGTACAGAAAAGGCATGATGGCGTCAGGCAGAGCTGAGGCCAAGCCCCAGAGCCCAAAGACTTATAGAGATCGATGAGCCCCCCCCGAGTGAGTCTCTGGAAGTGGAGATGAAAGGTCTGCTCTGTCCCTCAGCATTATGTTCAAAGGGAAGGAGACAGAATCTGGAATTGTATTCCGTAGGATCTTAAAAATAAACACTGGGAGCATGGTACTGGAACAAAGGCAGAACTGCAGACCAATGGAACAGGGTCGAATACACTGACATCTCCCCTCAATCATATGATCATCTAATCTTTGATAAAGGTGCAAGTAATGTGAAGTGGAGTAAGGAAAGCCTCTTTAAAAAATTGTGCTGGCATCACTGGACGGCTACATGCAAAAAAATGGGCTCAGAACTCTGCCTAACACCATGTACAAAAGTAAGATCAAAATGGATTAAAGACCTCAACATCAGACCAGAAACCATAAGGTACATTGAAGACAAAGTTGGCAAAACCCTCCATGACACTGAAGCTAATGGTATCTTCAAAGATGCCACACCACTGGCCGAGCAAGTGAAAACAGAGATAGATAAATGGGACTATCTTAAACGAAGAAGCTTCTGCACCTCCAAAGAAACAGTGACCAAAATACAAAGACAGTCTACAGAATGGGAAAGGATATTCGCCGAATACACATCTGACAAGTGGTTGATATCCAGGATATACAAAATACTGGTTGAACTCCACAAGAAGAAAACATCCAACCCCATCCAAAAACGGGGCAATGAAATGAACAGAAACTTTCTCAAAGAAGAAATCCGAATGGCAAAAAAGCACATGAGAAAATGCTCTACATCATTAATCATCAGGGAGATGCAGATCAAAACCACAATGAGATACCATCTCACACCTCAGAGACTGGCCCACATTCAAAAGAACAAAAGCAAAGATGCTGGCGCGGATGTGGTGAGAAAGGGACACTCCTTCAATGTTGGTGGGAATGTCGACTGGTTCAGCCCTTCTGGAAAACAGTATGGACGATTCTCAAAAAATTAGAAATTGAGCTCCCATTTGACCCAGCAATACCACTCCTGGGAATATATCCCAGAGAGGCAAAAATGTATAGTCGAAGTGACATCTGCACTTGTTTGTTCATTGCAGCACTCTTTACAATAGCCAGAAACTGGAAGAAACCTGAATACCCAAGAACAGATGACTGGTAAAGAAACTTTGGTACATCTACACAATGAGTACTATGTAGCTGTTAGAAAAGATGAAGTCATGAAATTTACATACAAGTGGTACAACATGGAAAGTATCATGCTAAGCAAAATGAGTCAGAAAGAGAGGGATAGACATTGAAAGATTGCATTCATCTGGGGGATATAAAGTAACAAAATATGAGATTAATACCCAAGAATAGTTGAAATCAGCACCAGGAGGATTACTTCATAGCTTAGTGGCCAGCCAGGCATTCTAGGGGAAAGGGCAGCTCAGATAGAGAAGGGAACACCAAATAAAGGGTGTTTGGAGGATCCTCCCAGGAGGGGAGATGCATGTCGAAAGTAGACTATGGACTGAACATGTTTGCCACTCAATGCCTTTTTTGCAGACCACAACACCCAAAAGGAGAGAGAGAACACAGGGGATTGCCCTGCCACAGAGGCAGGGGGGGACGGACGGAATGGGGGTTGCGGGGATATTATCCATGGTGGTAGAAAAGGGGCACTGGTGGAGGGATGGGTATCCCATTGTATAATCAAAACCCAAGCACAAAAAATTGTAAATCTACAACTGTACCTCATTGTGTTTCACTAATAAAAAAAAAAAAGAAGAAAAAAAAATAAACACTGGGGCCTGGTGCAATAGCACAGTGGGTAGGGTGTTTGCCTTGCATGCCGCCGACCCAGGTTCGATTCCCAGCATCCCAGATGGTCCCCTGAGAACCTCCAGGAGTAATTCCTGAGTGCACGAGCCAGGGGTAACCCCTGTGCATCACCAGGTAAAAAATATAAACAGTTGCTGGAGAGATAGTACAGCAGGTCTTGCATATGGCTGACCTCTTGTCTTGCATATGGCTGACCTGGGTTTGATCCGGCCACCACATAGGCCAGGGATGATCCTTGAGAGAAAAAAAAAAAAGGCAAGGAGTCAGTTGGATGTGGGAAGAAAAAAAAAACCACCCTGCTCCAAATCCACCCACCAACTCCCTCCTGGCCCAGGGTCCCACATTCTGAAGTTCCCACCCAGCACTCCTGAGATTTGGGTTCAACTTTTGGTTTGTTTTTTTGGGGGAGAAATGGCCGCTCCAGTTGTGCTCAGGGGTTACTTTCAGCTTGGTGCTCAGGGGTGGCTCCCGGAGATGGCTGTGGGACCATGCAGAGCAAGCAGTGCTGAGGACTGGACCCCAGGACTCCTGCAAAACCTGCCCCTCAGCTCATCCAGCAAACACACGTCTCCTAGACCCTCAAGTGCTGGTTTTTGTTTGTTTTCCCTGCACCTAAGATTTTTACCACCTTAGTTATAAGACCCTGATCATACCCAGCTCAGGGGACTAATTATGATGCCAGGGGTTGAATCCCTGGGTGATCCTGTAGGAGACAAGTGCCCACCCGCTGTATTATCTCTCAGATCCCTCAACCTGAGGTCTGAAATAACACCAGAGTTAGCTGGAACTGGGGTGCGATCTCCTGGGAAAATGAATCAGCCAGGAAGGACAGGGAGAGGAAGAAAGTTTTGCCCTCACAAGCACACCCTGCTCCCCACCCTCCCCCCTGCCAATTTCCCAACTCGGGGCCGCCATGTACGTCATCAGTCGGCTGGCCCTCCTCTTTTCTGGAACAAAAGTTTCTGAAGCCACCCAGATCCAGCACAGAAGCAAAGCAGGAAGGCGAGGACACTGCCGAAGGCCTCCACAACCCAGGCCACCTGTCCTGTCCGGGAGCTCTCGGTAAGCAAGTCGCCAGTTGACCTAGAGCAGTCAGGTTGGTCCTCCCTTCCAACCCCCTGGTTTTTTTTTTGGAGAAATCTGGAGGTTCCCCTTGCTGGCCTGGGATGTTGTCTCAGAAGAGGACCTGGTTCCTCCTCAGTTTCCCCCACCAGTGGCCTCTGGAACCCTACTTGGGCACTTTGCACCCAGAGTCTGTGCTCCCGGGAGCCTGAAAGCCAAGAAGGGCTGAGGTGGAGTGAAGGGTCTGGCGGACTCCAGCTCTGGCATCCCCACAAACTCCCTTTTCTGGGAAACAGACCACCCACCTTCCATCAGGATGAGGGGTCCGATCTCTCCCCGACAGTGAGTTAAGCGCCCGGGCCCGTCTGGAAGTCTTGGCAGTAAGCAGACGGGGCGCACGTATAGAGAGGGACCCCCTTGGGGCAACTCTGGGTGATACCCTACCTGTCTGCTCCCCACCCCACAACCTGAGGACTTTGTTTTTTCCTCACAGAGATGGAGAGAATGATGGGGAGACAGGGAATAGAAGGTTCCCTAGGCCCTCCGCGTGAGCAAAGAATAAGGTCAGCAGAGACGGAAAATTCACTTCACCAACCACCCAAGCCTCCTTAGATCGTGCTCAAAAGGCCTGCCAGGGCACCTCCACATTTGCAGTTTGCAGGGGAGGAGGGTGAACCCAGGTCTTCACAGGGAAGAGGCCTGAGCTCTACCTCAAAGCCAAATCCCCCACTCCATGCTCCAGTTCTTCCTGGGGGTATCTCCTGCTCTTTGCAATGGAGAGAATGGCCCCTTCTGGCCGACCCTTGGAGCTTACCCTGGGACTTGGGTTCAGAACAGACATTCTTTTTTTTTTTTTTAAATGATGTGGGAGTACTGCTATTTTTGCAGTCATTGATTAAGTTGATTGAATTGGGCATAAAGTACACATTACTTTTTTTTTTAATTGTATCACCGTGAGATAGTTACAAAGCTTTCACATTTGGGACTCAGCCATATGGTGACGGAACACCCATTCCTCCACCAGTGCACATATTCCATCACCCACATCCCAGTCCTCACCCTGCCTCTATGGCAGACAATTTCCCCAATACTTTCTCTCTAATTTTGGGCATTATGTTTTGCTTGAAATTTCCCACCACCATTCAAGCCTGTCTGCCAGGGGCAGAAGCTAGATAAATTATTTTCCATTGCTCATTTTGAATATCATGAGAGCTGGCATGGCCGCGATTGTAAATGGAAATTTCTAGATTGGAAACGGTTGAGTTCCAAAGACATCTCTGTAGGGCACTCATCCATTTTGGGATTCAGTGGGGCCTTTCTGGGCCAGGTCCCTTGGTGCGTTAAGATGGCACCTGGAAGCAAATTGTGAACATGACTTCCAGTCTTTGGGCAGGTGGGGACCCGGGCGGTTTGGCCTGGGTCCTTTGCCACCATGTGACCTGCAGTAGTCCTGGAACCCACACACCTGGGCCTTGCTTGTGGAAGCTTTTGGTCACCGGGTTTCCATATGGAATAGGCGGGGAGAGAAAACAAGCTCCGTCTGGGGTGTCCCGGTGAAATTGGCTCGGTATGGGGCCCAGAGAGGTCTCCAGCACTGTTGTTCCTTCTGGGACTTGCTGCTTTGTCACTGGGCCAGGGCTGTTGACGCGCTCAGATGGCTCCCGGAGGTAAATTGTGGGCCTGACAGCCAGTGAGTAGACATGCTTCTGCCTCCTGCTTTCCTACAGGAGGTGCCCAGCAGCCACCACCGTGAACAGGAGAGCCCAGCCCAGCCGTGCTGCCAAGTGCCCGCCAGCCTGCACCTCGTCCTAGTGCAGCCCTTGCCCTGACACCATGGCTAACCCCAGCGTACGCTTCCTGTCATTCTTATTCAAGAGTAATGATTTGGTGAGCTTAAATGGGCTAGTGGCCCTGGTCACTACGAGTGGCCAGGAGCTATTCTCCTTGTTTGCCTTCCACTGTCCATGCACACCAGGGTTGAACTTCCAGTACGGGCTGATGACCATCGGGGGGCCCGCCTTGGTGTTCTTCTTCATCAGCATCATCCTCAACAACCAAACCAGGAACCTGGTGGCCGAGTGGCGGTGCCACAAGACCAAGAAATGCTCAATCATCACAACCTTCCTCCTCCTAAAGTCCATCCTAGTCCGTGCTCTCGTGGCCCCAGTCACCTGGTTGGTCATCTCCCTGCTGCGCGGGGAGGCTTATGTCTGCACATTCAGCGAGTTCGTGGACCCGTCCTCGCTCATGGCTGGGGAAGAGAGCTTTCCTCTCTCCCATGCCACGTGGGTCCTGGCCAGGTTCCCTTGCAGGGAGGGCCCTGCCAACCTGTCCGACTTCCGGGAGGAGGTGAGCCGGAGGCTGAACTATGAGTCTCAGGTAAGGCTCTGCTGATTGATCCTCATCCCTTTCCCTGTGAGGTATATGTGTGGACTGGTGGGAGAGGGTTGGGGGAGATCAGTGCCCAGGCAGGAAATTATCCTTCAGGAAAACTCCAAACCTGGGTCCCGTAATCAGTGACAGACATGATTCTTGGTGTGATAAGAATCATTTCCAGTTTCAAATAGAAGAGTTGTGTTCATTTTTGCAGTGCTGGGGGTGGAACCCAGACACACACTTGCAAGGAAAGTGCTCTATTGCTAAGTCATTTTCCAGTCATTTTCTAGCCCCTCCAGATAAGAATTTTGATGTTTTGGGTTTTGTTCCAACCCAATAGAACTCACAAATGCTTAAAACTTAACTAGCGTTCGTCTTAGTTAGGGAAGGGGGAGACAGGAAGAGGGAGAGAAACAGTCCGGCGTTCAAGGGGAACAGGTGCAAAGGGGAGAGAGCTGACCCCAAGGTCAAAGAAAGGAATCACACATTCCAGCTGGGATGCAGCAGGCCGGACTGGGAGGCCCCTACTTGCTCTCGCAAAGTTCCCACAAACTGCCCCGATTTGAGGTTTTCCATGCAGATAAGAGTCTGTTGCAAGGGGCAGAGTGATCGTACAGCAATGAGGGTGTTTGCCTTGCACATGGGAGCCTTAATTTGATCCCCGGCATCCCATATGGTACCCAGAGCACCACGGGTGTGATCCAAAACAAAAAGAGGAAACAAAACAAAATGAGTCTGTTGTGAGGGTCTTGTCAAGGGCAGTGTTTGGGGGAGTGTTCTTGCAGCTCACCACAGCCTTCCGTTCCTGTTGATGCCTCTCTATCCTGGACCACCAACCTGTGCCAACTGGGTTGTGCTCCAAACAGCACCATCACCGGCCCTGCCCTCTGCCTTGGGCTGCTGTAGGGCCGGTGATGGTGCTGCTTTGGAGCAGCGGTCTCCAGCCTCTCACACCCGCCCACTCTCCCTGGCACCTGGGCCCTGGTCAGGCAGTAAGAACCTGGGCAGTAAGAACTGAGGCTTCCAACTCTCTCCACCTGCCGACCCGCACAGCTCTGTGGCGAAATCCGCTGCTTTAGATCCCATCTTGATCCCGTTGCTTCTGAGAAATCCATCGCCTGCTCCCTCCTACCATGAGCCTTGGCTTCGCTCCGAGGGGGCAGAGGGATCTGGGCAGAGTGAAGGAAGCAACCTGGTGAGGGCTGAAGGGGCAGAGAGGAGGCCGGGAAGTGGCAAGGAGGCACTGACCTAGTCTCGGGACATGGCAAACAACAGTTGGGGCTGGGGACGCTACTGCGCTAAGGTGCAAGCCTGGCATGCACCTAGCCCATAGGGTTCAATCTGGCACCACACAGTCCCCGAGAACTGCCAGGTACAGGTCTGGAGGCTCCCTGACCATCACTGGATGGGGTCCACGCATCACCAGGGAAGCCTGTTCACCCCGAGCCCCACAGGGTTCGGACAGCACCACATGCCTCAGGCCCTAAGGCCTGTGAGCCAGGTTGGCTGAAGTATTACCAGTGACCTTGCTCTCAACACACACACACACACACACACACACACACACACACACACACACACGAAGCTATAGTAGAGGGGAGGGTGTGAGCAGCCCAGGAGATGGGTATGGAGACAAGGGAATGGGGTGTCATTACTCACAGCTGCACAGGGCCAAAAATGGAGCGACACCCACCCCAGGGAGCCTTTGAGAACAGCATGAGGCCATTTTCCAGCAAGGTAGAGGGTGAGGAGGAAGCAGGCATGCAGGAGTTCCCAGAGGGTCCCTGGGAGGTGGCATGACGCTGAGCCTGGCCATCTGAGTCAGATTGGGTGGGCTGAGATGTGGGGAATAGGGAGGCCCTGGGGAGGAGGGGAAGGCAGCAGGAATCTGCCCAATTGAAGCACAGAGCAAGTGCCGCTTGGGAACACTGGTTTCTCCTTCAGATGCAGAATTTGCAGATGCAGAGCCAGCGGGCTGTGGGTGCTGAGGGTCAGCCCCACCCCAGCCGCTTTGGACCCCCTCAGCTCACCCTTTCTCTGACTGGCCGTCTGTGACTCAGCACTTAGGGTGCTGTTCATCTTCTCGATGGCCAGCCTGCTGTTGCTGATCAAGTTCTTCCAGTCCTGCTGCTCGAAATTCGGCTACCGCCAGGAGGACTACGTGGCCCGCTACCTCGCCAATGAGGAGCAGCTCTTCCAACGCACAGCAGAGGTGCGCTCGCTCGCAATGGCAGCCAAAAACGTGAAGCGCTTCTTCGGGTTCGTGGCGCTCAACAAGGAGGACGAGGAGCTGGTGGCCAAGTTCCCCGCAAAAGGCACCCACCTGAAACTACAGTGGGACAAGATCACTGGCAGTTACCTGTTCCAGGAGAAGCTGGGTATCCCCCTCTACAGCCGCCTGCACGAGTGGGCCCAGGGTCCACGTGGAAAGGCCAGCGTCATCGACAAAGAGATGGTGGCCCTGCTCCCCCACCCAGAGCCCAAACTTTCTGCCAGCCAGACTCCCAACCCCAGCAGCCCCATCCTTCCTCCCGCAACACTGGCTCTGGGGGAAGTATGAGGTTCAGAGGTATGGGGTGCAGAGGAGAAGGCAGCAGACCCAGCTGCCCCTGAAGGACAGGTCTGTGGACTTGAAGAAACGCTGGCTTCACAGGCAGGAGTCCTGGATGCAAAATCCCAGTACCAAGTTTTCCCGAGCACCCCCGGGAGTGACTCCCGAGCACAGCCCCAAGTAGAACCCTGGCAGCAGAAAACCTCCAGAACCCAACTGCCACCATGCTCAAGGCCACTCTCTACACACTTGAATGAGCCTAATCCAAGTGGGAACAGGCAGGAAAACCTAGGTATGCGGGACCTGTGGCTGAGATCGCCAAGCTCACTTGGAACGGGACTGGGCCTCCTCCTCCCACCTCCCCCGTTTTCCAGTAGCTTGGCAGTCACACCCACAAACTGCCCCTGCCAACATGTAATCTCATCAATGGCCAAGATCCAGAAACTACAAACTAAAGTTCCTGGTAGAGAGGGTCTGAGAATTTCCTAATGCAGCTGCTTGACCTCTAATACTCTAGCCCACTAACATAGCCAAAGTCGCACACATTAGTTTGGATTGAACATACTTACTTGTATTCTTTTATATTCAGCCTTAAATGGCTCCAGAATTGAAAGAGAACAACCCTCACACATTTTCCTCTTCAGTTGGGAAGGTGCTTGGTGGTGGGATTGGTGTTTGAATATTGCCTGCAATGAACTATTGTGAACTACTTTATGAAAATAAAATATATAAAATTTGTAAAAAAATAATCACCGTATCACTGTCATCCCATTATTCATCCATTTGTTCAAACAGGCACCAGGAACATCTCCATTCATCCCAGCCCTGGGATTTTAGCAGCCTCTTTTTACTTGTCCTTCCCAATGATGCCATATTGTAGGCTCTTTCAGGGTCATGGGAATGGACCCATTATTGTTCTTTATTTTGGCATATCGAGTATGCCATGGGGAGCTTCCAGGCACTGCTGTGCGGGCAGAATACTCTCAGTAGCTTGCTGGACTCTCCAGGAGGGACGATGAATGTACATGCATCTCTGTAAAATAAATAAATAAAGTAAACACTGGCTGGAGAGATAGTACAGAGGGTAGGGCTCTTGCCTTAGCATGTGGCTCACCTGGGTTTGATACCCTGAATCACATATGCCAGGGGTCATCCCTGATCCAAATAGAAGGCATGGAGTCAGCTGGGTATGGGGGGAAAAAAGAAAACCATCCTTCTCCAAATTCTTTCACTGATGCCCTCAGAGCTCAGGGTCCCACATTCTGAAGTTCCTACCCAGCAGTCCTGAGATTTGAGTTCTACCTTTGGTTTGGTTAGTTTGGGAGCAACTGCCGCACCAGTTGTACTCAGAGTTTACTTCCAGTTTGGTGCTCAGGGGTGGCTCTCGGAGATGCCTGTGGGACCATACAAAGCGAGCTGCGATGAGAACCGCACCCCAGGACTCCTGCAAAACCTTCCCCTCAGCTCACCCGGCAAACGCACGTCTCCCAGACCCTTAGGTGCTGCTTTTTGTTTGTTTTACCTCCACCTACGATTTTGTTGTCCCCTCAACCCCAGTTATGAGACCCTGATCAGACCCAGCATGCTAAGGGCTTACTCCTATCTCTGTGCTCAGAACTGACTCCTGGTGAGGCTCAGGGGACTAATTATGATGCCAGGGCTTGAACCCCTTGGTTGTGCCTATGTCAGACAAGTGCCCACCTGCAGTATTATCTCTCGGGGCCCTCCACCTGAGGTGTGAAACAACACCAGAGTTAGCTGGAACTGGGGTGCGACCTCCTGGGAAGATGAATCAGCCAGGGCAGCATAGGGAGAGGCAGAAAGTTTTGCCATCTTCGTGCCATTTTCCTCCCTCCCAGCTGGGGCAGCTCTGCATGGTGGGGTGAGCGTCCCACAGGTGGGTGGGCATGGCCCTGACCTTCTGAGACCTTAGAGTGTAAACCGAAGAGTCCCCCCTCCCTCCCTCCGTCCCACACCCCTGCTCCTCACCCTCCCCCCTGCCAATTTCCCAACTAGGGGGCGCCATGTACATCATCAATCGGCTGGCCCTCCTCTTTTCTGGAACAAAACTTTCTGAAGTCACCCAGATCCAGCACAGAAGCAAAGCAGGAAGACGAGGGCACTGCCGAAGGCCTCCACAACCCAGGCCACCTGTCCTGTCTGGGAGCTCTCGGTAAGCAAGTCGCCAGTTGACCTACAGCAGTCAGGTTGGTCCTCCCTTCCAACCCCCTGGTTTTTTTTGGAGAAATCTGGAGGTTCCCCTTGCTGGCCTGGGATGTGGTCTCAGAAGAGGACCTGGTTCCTCCTCAGTTTCCCCCACCAGTGGCCTCTGGAACCCTACTTGGGCACTTTGCACCCAGAATCTGTGCTCCCGGGAGCCTGAAAGCCAAGAAGGGCTGAGGCGGAGAGAAGGGTCTGGCAGGCTCCAGCACTGGCATCCCCACAAACTCCCTTTTCTGGGAAACAGACCACCCACCTTCCATCAGGATGAGGGGTCCGATCTCTCCCCGACAGTGAGTTCAGCCCGAGCCCGTCTGGAAGTCTTGGCAGTAAGCAGACGGGGCGCACGTATAGAGAGGGACCCCCTTGGGGCAACTCTGGGTGATACCCTACCTGTCTGCTCCCCCACCCCACAACCTGAGGACTTTGTTTTTTCCTCACAGAGATGGAGAGAATGATGGGGAGACAGGGAATAGAAGGTTCCCTAGGCCCTCCGCGTGAGCAAAGAATAAGGTCAGCAGAGACGGAAAATTCACTTCACCTACCACCCAAGCCTCCTTAGATCGTGCTCAAAAGGCCTGCCAGGGCACCTCCATATTTGCAGTTTGCAGGGGTGGAGGGTGAACCCAGGTCTTCACAGGGAAGAGGCCTGAGCTCTACCTCAAAGCCAAATCCCCCACTCCATTCTCCAGTTCTTCCTGGGGGTATCTCCTGCTCTTTGCAGTGGAGAGAATGGCCCCTTCTGGCCGACCCTCAGAGCTGCCCCTGGGATTTGGGTTCAGAACAGACATTCTTTTTTTTTTTTTATAATATAGGACTACTGCTATTTTTTAAATTTTTTTTATTAGTGAAACACCATGAGGTACAGTTGTAGATTTACAATTATTTGTGCTTGGGTTTTGATTATACAATGGGATACCCATCCCTCCACCAGTGCCCCTTTTCCACCACCATGGATAATATCCCCCCCACCCCCATCCCGTCCATCCCCCCCCTGCCTCTGTGGCAGGGCAATCCCCTGTGTTCTCTCTCTCCTTTTGGGTGTTATGGTCTGCAAAACAGGCATTGAGTGGCAAACATGTTCAGTCCATAGTCTACTTTCGACATGCATCTCCCCTCCTGGGAGGATCCTCCAAACACCCTTTATTTGGTGCTTCCTTCTCTATCTGAGCTGCCCTTTCCTCTAGAATGCCCGGCTGGCCACTAAGCTATGGAGTAATCCTCCTGGTGCTGATCTCAGCTCTTCTTGGGTATTAATCTCAATTTTTGTTACTTTATATCCCCCAGATGAATGCAATCTTTCTATGTCTATCCCTCTCTTTCTGACTCATTTCGCTTAGATTGATACTTTCCATGTTGTACCACCTCTATGTAAATTTCATGACTTCATCTTTTCTAACAGCTACATAGGAGTACTGCTATTTTTTTCAATCATTGATTAAGCTGATTGGTTTGGGCATAAACTACAAATTACTTTTTTTATATTGTATCACCGTGAGATAGAGTTACAAAGCTTTCACATTTGTGACTCAGCCATACGGTGACGGAACACCCATTCCTCCACCAGTGCACATATTCCATCACCCACATCCCAGTTCTCACCCTGCCTCTATGGCAGACAATTTCCCCAATACTTTCTCTCTAATTTTGGGCATTATGTTTTGCTTGAAATTTCCCACCACCATTCAAGCCTGTCTGTCAGGGGCAGAAGCTAGATAATTTATTTTCCATTGCTCATTTTGAATATCATGAGAGCTGGCATGGCCGCAATTGTAAATGGAAATTTCTAGATTGGAAATGGTTGGGTTCCAAAGACATCTCTGTAGGGCACTCATCCATTTTGGGATTCAGTGGGGCCTTACTGGGCCAGTGCCCTTGGTGTGCTAAGATGGCACCTGGAGGCAAATTGTGAGCATGACTGCCAGTCTCTTGGGCAGGTGGGGACCCGGGGGGGTTTGGCCTGGGTCCTTTGCCACCATGCAACCATGCGTCATGGAACCCGCACACCTGGGCCTTGCTTGTGGAAGCTTTTGGTCACGGGTTTCCATCTGGAATTGGCGGGGAGAGGACACAAGCTCCGTCTGGGGTGTCCCGGTGAAATTGGCTCGGTATGGGGCCCAGAGAGATCTCGGCACTGTGGTTCCTTCTGGGACTTGCTGCTTTGTCTCTGGGCCAGGGCTGTTGGTGCGCTAAGATGGAGCCCGGAGGCAAACTGTGGGCCTGACAGCCAGTGAGTAGACATGGTTTTGTCTCCTGCCTTCCGAAAGGAGGTGCCCAGCAGCCACCACCGTGAACAGGAGAGCCCAGCCCAGCCCTGCTGCCAGGTGCCCACCAGCCTGCACCTCCTAGTGCAGCCCTTGCCCTGACACCATGGCTAACCCCAGCGTCCGCTTCCTGTCTTTCTTTTTCAAGAGTAATGATTGGGTGAGCTTCAATGGGCTAGTTGCCCTGGTCACTACAAGTGGCCAGGAGCTCTTCTCCTTGTTTGCCTTCCACTGTCCGTGCACACCAGGCTTGAACTACCAATATGGGCGGATAACCAATGGGGGTCCCGCCTTGGTGTTCTTCTTCATCAGCATCTTCCTCAACAAACAAACCAGGAACCTGGTGGCCAAGTGCCGGTGCCACAAGACCAAGAAATGTTCAGTCATCACAACCTTCCTTCTCCTAAAGTCCATCATAGTCTGTGCTTTCGTGGCCCCTCATCACTATCATTACTATCAGCACCATCACTACCATCATCCCCATCTTCCGGCCATCATCCTCATCACCATCACCACCATCACCACCAACATCACCACTAACATCACCATCCTCACACCATCATCCTCATCACGATCACCAACATCCTCAACATCCTCACACCATCATCACTATCACTGCCATCACCACCATCATCACCATCCTCCCATCAACATCCTCATTGCCATCACCAATATCCTTACCTTCCCCCCACCATCATCCTCATCACCATCACCACCATCACCACCACCACCACCGCCATCATCACCATCCTCCCACCATCACCCTCAGCACCAGCACCAGCACCACCATCATCATCACCATTATCTTCACCCTCACCATTACCCTCATCACCATCCTCATCACCATCCTTATCTCTATCCTTATCTTTCTCCTGCAACAGCTGTCTTAGAGAAACCACTAACTTCTCAAATGCTGTTCACAGTTCCTCTGCCTCCAGTCTAACCCACTCATCCTGACATCTGAGACCCGCCCTCCTCCACTCAAACACACACAAGATGGGCTTCACTCAGTCTTCAAGGACGAACTGGCTCCTCTGGTGGGCACCTACTCCTTTCCCCATGGAACACAGTCCCCACTTCCTGCTTCTCAGGCCTCACTGCCACACCCTCCAGCCACACCCACAGGGGCAGGGTCTTCGCCTACCCACTCCCCCTCCTGTCCTGCCTGGTCTCAGCCCATCCAAGAGTCTGCAGGG